TTGACTCGTCCCGAGCCGTCTTTCCGACATTTTGATGAGGTGGGATTTGGCTGTGAGCCAGTGCAAATGCCATTCTCTTTCGCTCTCCCTACCCACATCCGATTCTCTCGCCGCCCTCCATCCTTTTTCGTTCCCTTTTCTTTGCGCATCGCGTCCGCCAGCCCTCCCAAGCACATTTTGGATACTCCGATTCTCGCTTATCGCTATCCCGCAGTTTGTTTGAATACGTAGAATACAATACGGAATAATACAGAATATCGTCGAAATGGAGGACAATGAGAAATGGGAAATACTGGTATGATTGTTATTTGAATAAAATCGAATGATATGTCGAGGAATCGAATACATTTACATATAATATTATCGCGCAATTAAGACCATTTTCAATTGTTCGATTAATTCATTTATTCGAAATTAGTTATTTTCTTTATGATATATTTTTTGCCATAGGTTTTTATTCTACAAAGATAAAATCTGTCGAAAGAAATTTCTTATCACGGCAAAATAATTACTCTCAAAATATTTTCTTTCTGCTGACTTATATACTCCTTATTTGATCAAGCATTATCGTTCGTCAAATAAGTTTTCGCTCACTCACGTCCACGTGCGATTATCTCCCGTGTTCGTAAATAATCGCGCAGGGCACATTGCGGAAAAGGCCGATAATCCCCGAAAATCATTTAGGCCTCGTCGAGGGAGTGCCACGCACTGATCTGAGCGAAAGATTAATCATTTATTTCTCACCCCCGAGGACACCGACTGTTTTATTGCTGCTTAATAGCAAAAGGAACAGATCTCTTCGGCGAAGCCAACACACGACTTGCAACCCGAAGGGCGCGAAAGGGCGCGGCGCGGCCGTACCGCACTGCTGTTCGATATTGCGAAATAATTTTTCACCGCGCATTAGCATCGTGACACGTGTCGGCTCCATTTGTCTAACCCGTCTACGACTCTATCTGCGAAAAAGCCCCGGGAATATAATACGCGTCGCGCGTGTACACGAGGCAATAAGGGCGGGCGCGCAAGAGGAGAGGAGAGAGCCGATCGTCGTCGTGGCGCGCGGCGCCGTGCTGTGTTTCACAAATACGCCCGTGGTGTTGCGCGGGCACGGCCACGTGTGCGCACACCCAGCCCCGACAGCGGCTTTGTAATGATCCCGTAGAAATTCATTAAAACTCATAATCAACGCGGCGCATACTTCGCGTACGTTCGAAGCTGGCGAAATAATATAATTTTAATGCCGCGCGGACCGCGCTGCCGGACCGCGCCGCGCATCATATACACGTTTTATCCGGGAGTCGCTCCCAGCGGCGGCGACGGCGGCGGCGGCGGGCGCCGCGCCGCGCGGAGATGTGTGCGCCAGAGGGGAAATGCAAATTTCGTCCGCGCATTTTGTTTTGGAATTTAATGTAGTTAGGTGCAAACGGGGTTATATCAGAATGTCGTAATGCGGCGCGTCACGCGAAGCCAATTTCGAGAGTAATTTGGTCAGTCCTGACGACGCGCGGGGCCGGCCGGCAGATTCAACGTGTGCAACGTCGGTCGTGTTAATTATCCCGTGACCGGGATCGCTTCGAGACAATGTTTCACGACCGCGTGAGTTTCGTTAAAAGCGTGACCGTTAAAAGATTACAATTGTCACTTACAGCTTTCTCGTCATTATACCGTGGCAAAAGAATGTAGATATATAGATATCTCTTACACGTTTCTCAGAAAATCAATCTTTTTCTTTCGTCCACCATAAACGCATGAATATTTTGCTAAGTACTTGACCGACTCTCGGGCAACTTAGCAACTACCACGAAAGCTTACCCAGCGTGCCTGCAAGCTGAAAACATGCTGTCCACCGGGTAAACAAGATACAAGATAGTGCAATATTAGATGATGTCCAGCGGAAAGTCACTTTGTGCTTGGTAAGCGCTTGCTTGTGCAAAATGCGAGACTAAGTTATATAATCAAAATTGCATTTACGTTTACATAAATTCGCTCAGCAGACTTAACTTTTCGTTATCGATCCATAATAAAACACTACGTTATAAAAAATAATATAATGTATTAATAGCGTGTAACGTATTAATAGCATATTTCACTATAATCAATGATACGAGGATATTTACGTATTCCTTTTAATTAAAATTGTACAATATCAAATTATTTAATATATCCTAAAATATTTCCTCTGCATGAAACAGAAAGGATAGCAGCAAACACACAGAGTCGCGTAATTATCATCGCGCATTTAAACGCGCTGAATGCGATACGCTTGAAACGCCGTAAAAAATATTATATAAGCGCGCAACATTTGCTGTCACAAAGAATCGTGTAACGAATGCAGGCTTGCGACACTCATGCGTGCATCAAGTTCTATCTTGCTGGGGCGTATCGTTCATCCCGGGCACACGCGCACTGCGAGCGCGGTGACGCCAGTGCAAAGGGTTAATTGTTTCGCGCGGGGATTTGCGGCGCGTCAAAGAACACATCGTGCACCACGGCGACGTGTTCCCAAGTCCTGTCGGCGGATAATGATCTAAATCCCGGTCGAATCTGAAACCGGATCCCAATCTACGCTCGGCTGCACCAATGGAGCCCTCGGCGCGCTATCGAGTGCGCCGAGGGGTCGGACCGGCCGGCCGTGCCGGCCGGACCGCACGGTCGCGCGGCGTCTCTCTCTCTTTCTCTCTCGATCGAGTGTCGTGATGGGAATTACGAGGGGACGATTACCGCGGATTTTCGTGAATATATATTCGACGGCACGATAAAATGGCCGATGAATTATGGGGGAAGTGCTGAGAAGTGCGGCAGGGAAGGATCGGGGTCACGTGGCACGCGTGGTACACCATTGCGGTGAAATTTATTACTCGCCCGAGCGAGACTGATTACCGAGGCTGCACCTACCCGCCGCCCGAAACTTCGCCGTTCGATATCGGGTCCGATCGACGTTGTTAATGGGGAGCGAAAACGGAGAATCTCGGAGTTCCCTCAAAATTTATCGGGGCTTTAAATACACGAGATTTTCGCGACTACGGTTCGTGGTACACGAACGATAATACGATGCATGGCACGTTTCCCGCGCATCACGGAGTCTTTCGCGCGCTATTCTTTCTGAACTCTAGTTATAATGTAAATTGCATCTGATATATTAATTTGATTTTTATTTATATACCAATGAACTGCTTCAAAGTTGGCTAATAATGTTAATAATCTTCCCCTCGCGCAATATACTCGTATTATTCGCAGAAATTGATTATTCCTCGAACGCGATGCGCACACGCTCGAGATGTCGCAGGCAAGACACTAAGATCGCGTAAGATGGAACACAATGGCTAATTAGGTATGCATAATTACTGAAATTCCTAGGATGCAAATACCTTCGTTAGATAACGCGGCGAACAAACTTAGGTGAACTTTGATGTCGAATCCGGGAACGCGAGAATTTCGCCCGCCTCGCAAGCCCATTCGGCTACGTCAACAACATCATAACTCTTCCGGTAAGCGAGTGACAGTAACGATTCCGAGCAATCCCGGCGCATTTGGCTTTTATGAAAACAAATCAGCAGCCGTTTCTGCTGCATCGCGCGGATACGTTCAAAACAGTACTTCGCTCAACCGTCTACAAAGCGCGTGTCATCATATTTTTTTGAAAAGGCCCCGGGCTTTACATGAACGCGTGTTTGAAGTGTCGTTTCATGTACACTAAAGAGATTCGGTTAGTTGAAATGTTGTGCGCACCTTTGATCTCCAAAAAAATACTCTTTTTCGTGTTTGCTCATCGTGCGACGGATATATTTACTCAAGCTATCCGGTGCAATAAACTTTCCCGACCGTAACGATACCTGGTAATTTGTCGTCACGTGTGCGACACAGCAACGATCATTCCCGAATGAAAATAATACGCGAGAGTGTGTGAACGCATGGACGGAACGCTCGCCGTAGGAGAGAGCCAAAATAATTAGACATTACGTCGGGCTCGCGCATTAAAATCGGCAATGCGAGAAATATGGCACGGTCGCATAATATGTATTATAAAAGTTATAAAAAGAGATCGCGGATTTCGAGATGGGTGCGCGAAGGCGGCGCGACATGGTATAAACGCGAGTGAAATCGTGAAATACTCCGGACGTGTCTAATTTTGTCGCGGGTTTATTCGCGTTACGTAATCACGACATATCACGCGCGGTATTTGTAAGGCTCCGTTCGTAGCGCGATGTGTCGGATGCGTGGACCTGGGATTGCGTTTGTCCGCGGAGAAATGGACGCTGTGTCCGTTATAACATAACGCTATATGGTAGCGATGCATCGCGATGCGCCGGGCGGCGCGAGTCCGACGTAATGCAACGTAAAATATGGTGGGTACATCCAGCCCCGGCCAGTGTCCTAATTACGGGCGTATCGTCTGCTGTCCCAGTTAAGGGTACATATATCCTGCAAATGGGAAATTAGTGAGCAATACTTATTAATCACGTATAATCAAAACGATAGCCTCCGCCCCGTAATTAATTGCCCCCCTGTCCGAAATATATTCAGTCTAATCCCTCGATAAACAGCATTCCCTGTGGATACCACTTTCGATATTGTTACGTTGTATATTTATCGCAGATATCGAAAGATACGTCCTGCCGTATTTTTGGTTAACATAGAAAATATATATTGCGTAAAAATTCATTAATTAGATATAAAGGATAGTTAACGGGCGTATTTATGAAGATAGCACATCAGATTTGGGAGCGTTCAGTGTGTTTACACGCAAAGAGTAATTAAAACAAATTTCAATTGTTCATGTAACATGTTTACAATACCGTATGTACCTCTCTGAGGCGAGAAAAATCAGGCATACGTCGAGCTAACTTGTTATGTACTTACAATCTATAAACATACGTATAATGTATTTCAATTGTTAATTGTGAAACGATAGAAAATCTGAGATTAAGGTATATCATTAAAAATTTGAAATCTTCTTAATTAAAAAGTTGTTCAAATAAATATATGAAATATTTCTTTACCAAAATACATCGGAGAAGCAGGGAAGATCGACAGGAGCATAGTCGTCTCAGGGAAGCATACAAGCGGTATGTACTCCGTATTCAGACGTATTTCGAGAACGACGTAAAATGCGTGCAGCCGATATGCGATCACTGTAACACAATGTAAATCGTCATGACGATAAAAGACACGAACGAGCGTAATGAAAAATTACTCACCAGCCGGATTCACCGCTTTCCTCCTACCGGCAGCTCAATCCCTCCGAAAATGTCCGCTCGCTTGACCAGTAGGCAAGACACAATTACCGGCTCTTTGTCATTTTGTCGACACTTCCGGGACACGAATATCGCGCACGACGACCGATTTTCCAGTGAGCGCGGTGAAATCTTCGGATATCACGGAAACCTAACCTGTACGTCAAGACGCGCCTGCCGGTCTCAAAACGCGAAAGCTTTTATTTACCTTTCGCAACTGATCCATAAAAAATTGCGTCATATGAGTAACATCGCGCGCGACTCGATTGTCGCACATTGTCGCACTACCGACACAACGCACTCCTCGGACGGATAAACTTCGGACGAGCGAGTAACAACACTAACAACAACGCGAACGCGAAACACGACGCTCACCGCTTACTCATCGACGCCGCCAATTCAAATTTGATTCGCGCACGTCGCGGAACGCGACTCGATTTCGATCAATTTCGATCTTGGGACGTGCGCGATGCGCGCCAAACCACGGAGCGAATCAATAGCTAGACTGGCAGACTGCATTCTAAAACTACACTTGATCAATTCCTTACCTTAAAGCTTATCGCAATGGGTAGGAAAGAAAACATAAGCTCCGTTCTTAACTAATTAGAGTCCTAGATTATCAGAGAAGCGCGACCGGTGTTACGAGTGGACTCGCTAATGGCCAATCGTAAGATTGATTTATCGGTATTATAATTGGCCATTTGACGCCATTTTTAGTACATTTTTAATATTTTCTAAAGAGCACA